CACGTCCTATAGACAGCTTAATTTGAAGCTGTCCGTTAGGAAACGTAAGCTTGATTGGACAATCGCAAATGTAGTTATTTCCTAGGTGTATAAGGACGAGATAAAACATGCCAGAAACGCGCGCTTGATATGAAATCACAGCGGATTTTGCAATGAGCATGTCGGTGTGGAGGCTGAAGTGGCAGCAGATATCTTCCGCGGGAATTATATTTTGATAATAGCGGCGTTGTTCTGAAGAAAATTGATGCAAGAAAGTCGCAGGTTTTGACGCTACGAAAAATGTGCTTCATGTGTGGTGTTTTCAAATGAGAATGAGTTCTGTTGAAGACTTGCACTTTCCCTACCCGTGGTATGTAAACATGAAAATTCTTGTAAAATCAGTAAGGAAATCAGTGGAAATTCCGTCTAGAATAAGGAGAAAGCAGACAAGGATTGTCATAAACAGCCGACCCCATACACAGAAGTTTTGAGTTGCTTGTGCCCAGTTGACGACCCATGTGAATAATTGAAGAATGTCAACAACTGAGACAACTATGAGTATGAGTAAGGGTGGCGCATCTGGTTTAAAGGATTAAGTTAGAAATCCCTAGCAACGACAGATGCATTGCAACTTAAATAACACTGCTTTATCAGATACTTAGTTGGCTTTATACATCAGACGTAGGACACAGCACGTAGCTGTTACCTATCCAATAAGTTCGACATATGACGCACATTAGTCATAAGCTTTTGATCATTCTATTTCTCGTCAGTTATACATCTAGAATTTACTTCTATTCCGTGATGAATTATTTAGAGTGTGTACTTATTTAATACCTCTTTGCTTGGTCAGCAGCTTGCTAAAGAAATACATCGATCTTGTTAATACATTTGAACATCTTTCCAAATGTGTTATTCCTTCCCATATCCTAAAAGTGTTTTCAAATATCCATCTTTATAAAAGGGTGCGTTTATAGTATCATTATCACAGTAGTTATGGAATTTAGATTGTTCACAAAACACTTTTTGTGTCTAAAGTAAGGACATTTCAAAGTGTTATTCATAAAAGTCTTTCGGGAAGGACTATCACTGAACGTTTATTAAGTAAACACTGTTAGAGAATAGTCTGATAAGGAAATGAACGCGCTGAATACTGCCACATTACAAGTGACAAAACTGGTTTAAGCTGCAACTGGAAGTCATTCTCAAACAAAGAATAGCAGTTGAAAAATATCAATTCCCGTATATGATGGAGTGCATTGCCTCCCTTTAAATACAGCATACCGCTTCCTTTAAGTGAAATTTTGGCCAATGTAGCGAATATGCTGACAAAACTTAAGATTTCATGTATCGCTCTCTGCAATGTCGTCCAACACTTCAGTGACGAGTACTCTCACTATACTTGTGGCATTCTTTCACGCGAATAGTTCATGAATTTAGTTTAAAAGCAGTTCGTATAATTCACTAAATACTTTGGAGAAAGCACGAGTAATTTAGTGAATTATATTAAAAAGGAAGCTATTTCACGAACTTCTTTTTTACTGAGACCAGAAGTTCGTTCACGTGTGCTGTGAATATTTTAGGATTTTAATGGCTGAAAGTTTTCCGTGGGAATGAAAAAGTTGTCTCTAGCTACTCATACTACTGTTGTACAAATCTATATCTAACTTGCATTATTTAGGTTTGCACTTTCCAAACCCAAAAGAATCTGGCTTTATCTGGATTTTTACTCTCTTTTATGATGTAAATTCCAGGAAATCAGGTATGCCGAAATAATAATCTAAATGATTTATCAATGACATGCTGTTCAGACCCTGGTTATGTGGCTAGTGAGTAACATGTGACCATTGGGGTGGTGGGTGTGTACTACTTAGGAGTTTCATAACAGAACGACATGGCTGTCCCGTGCTCCCAGGTTTTCATTAGTTCTTCAATTAATTAATTTATTTCACACCCTCTCCTGAGAGGGAGGGAGATGATGATGAAGAAGACACCCAACTAAAAACAACAAGTACCAATCACCATCAACGGGAGAAATATATAAGAAGTTGTTTCTTTAACCACCTACCTAGGTGGCATCGTTTCAACCACAGGCGATGGCTTAGATGAGATTGTCAAGACCAGAATCGAAAAAGCAAGACAGGCCTCCAATAATCTAAAGTCAGTGAAGAAACCTATTGCACTGCACTGCACTCAGCATAAAGTGTGAGCAAGATTCGGATTTTCAACACTAATGTCAGTCAAGTAAGTCAGTGCTTATATGTGATGGTTCAGAGACTTGGCGCGTTACGAAAAGCATTTCCAATAAACTGCAGACATATATCAACAGCTGCCGTCTACGCTCACTTGATACTGAAGATTAGATGGCCAGAAAGAATAAGCAAGGAGGAATTCTGGGTGACAACGAACCAACCAACAACCCATCGACCAATAAATATGCAGAAGAAGAAAGTGGAGATGGACTGGATTAGACACACACTGAGAAGACCGACTGGGTACATCACGCACCAGGCCAAGCCCTGGAGTGGAACCTAAATGGGAAACGACGAGTTAGGCTTCCTAGGGTGATATGGAGGAGACTGTGTGAAGAAGAAATGAAAGCTTCTGGGCAGTGGTGGAGCCAGGCTGAGAAGACTGCAAAGAACAGAGTGAAATGGCAACGTGCTAATGAAGCCCTGTGTTCCACTAGAAACCCAAAGACAAATAAAATAAAAATCTCCCACCCTCAAATGCATGGCTCGATTACTCTTCCTTATGAGTATGTGACTTCACACTTGTGAATTGGTTTCTACGGGATGCGTCTATATCAGTCTACCATATAGGGGGGGGGAGTTGAATAGTAGGCTAACATCAGCCATTAAGAAAACATATTACGCACCTAATCTTATCATTTTGAGAAAAAACAAAGCATATACTTCACCACAGTGATTACGTCACACTTCATTGTGTTTAACAATTTACGTGCGTGTATGGTCACACATACATAGGGAGGAGTAATCGAGCGATGCTGTTGAGGATGGGAGAACTGGTATCTAAATGACTTCAAAAGCAAATGGAGTGTGAAATCGTGATGAACGCTGATGGGAGACGACCCCATTCATCTATAGCTACACATATTATAGAAACAGATCACAAAATTAATGTTCAAACAGTTTTCAAAGTTTTACATAGAAGTAGTCAGAGACGTATACTGAGACTCGTGGAAGTCATGGTAATACAAAAATTGAAACCACATTTATGTATACAGAAACAATTTGTTCTCACACTACACCTACCTTGGTAAACTTTGTTTTCTTGCCAAGACTAGAATCAACTATGTCACTTCCTGTTTGCTCTCATCTTTCTCAATCTGAATCCCCTATCATGTAATTGTTATATTTGTCCTCCCACTCTTCAGTTTAATGTATATTGACGTGACAAGTAAATGTGTGATCAGATTGCTTGAAATGTATTACGTAAATACGTCACGTTGTTCAGATAAACTTTATCTTTTAATTACGCTATCGAAATTCATAAAAAGGACTAACTGTTTCAAATGTTTTATTTATTTTTATCCCTTGAAATAATCTGGTATATACATATTGGTTCGTATGATTTCTCTTGAAACTTCAGTGCAACATGTTTGATTTGTAGAAACATTCAGGAATTAGAGCTTTTCATGAAGATTGTAGAAATCTTATTCCACACTATAACAATCATCTAACTTGTCAGAATAAGCGGATCAGTTTCATCATGATGATTAACCGTTGCTCTTTGTAGTCTTATGGATAACTCTCAGACCTTTGAAGCAATCTGTCCCGAGTTCAAGTTCTAGTGGGAATAACATCGCTCACTGGGAGGTAGGTATATCCAGCTGACGGGTCCCATATAGAAAGAAACGAACGTCCTGAGTTCATCGCTAGCCACTATCTATCAATAATATGATAATTAACTCCCTATAGTCATCTTCCAACCACATTTTTGTGTGCAATATCCTATGCTTTTATCACGTTGACTTTTCACTTCTAATACCAACATTTATTCTTTGTCAGACATAGGTGGCACATTTCTGCAGCTGAAAAACTCCATAATTAAGGACTTCAGGTCATATATTTCTTGCATCAATTCTTTAGCCAGAAACTCTTCTTTCGGTTTTAGAACAAGTATAATTACTTGAAAATTTTTTATGACCAAACTCAAAGTATCAAACAATGTATATTTGTGTAGTTAACTTGGTTCTGCTGATTAATAATACCTGTATTCATCCTTTATTAGTACCAGAAAACTATACTAAGCTTACGTAAATTATGTCCATAGGTAAACTACTTTGAAACCAAAACTTTCAGAATGTAGTGGGGTGTTTTCATCCCTTGATACCTAAAATTAACTCCCCCTCGTCTCACTTCAGTGGTCTGATAGTTATATTTATATATCATGACCGTTGTTCAAGGTTTCCGTGATTCCTGATTTAACAAGTCGGTTAAATAAAGGAAGCAGTCTTTGCTAAGAAAGCGTTAAAACTAGATTAGGAAAGATTAAATTAGCACAACGATCCACTCAGTAAGAGAAAAACGCAATATACCCCTAACTTTGCATAGTTTTTGCCTATGACCTTAAAATAACCTACATGGCTATTTTCATACCCTTTTTAGTTTTTCTTCCCTTTGCTGTCAAGGCTGAACTCTCATTGGTTGTCAACTATTTTAACCTAAAGTTGGATTTAGTGTGATCAAGGTCATTTGGGAATGTATATAATCAGCATTGCTGTCAACTGTAATGAGTTTTGTGGAGACCGTGAGAAGTTCTCTGTCAGCGGTCTGTCTTCTTTTCTTATCTTCACCTGTCGGTGGTATTGTCGTTGTGGTGGCTGATGTTGTGATTTGCGTTAGAGTTAATTCGTTTTCGCGTTAGGTTCTTATCATTCGAAGTCTGGTAGGCTCATATCTCTTGTAGACTGTTAGCCTATGTAACGGGTCATAGCAAAAAGTTTTCTATCTTTCATTACTGACAACAAATAAAATGATATTTTGTTGCCTTTCCAGAACCTTTCATTTTTCCGAAGATTACAATCAGCGAAGACAAACCTGGAGGTTCTGACTAACAATTATTTCAATGATGAAGAAAAAAAAGACGAAGAATATTCATTTCTGATATCTACAGAATGGTATTATAAAATCAGTTTCTCACTGATCCTTGCTGATTAAATGCAAATATATGCGACCTTCTTTAAAAAATATGTATTAGAATACCTTGAGAAAATATGCATGAAACTTGAATATCACTTACTTTGGCGAAAGATTTTCAAAGTCATTTGACTGATGTATGCGTTACTGTACATGAAATAACTACTCTTTAACTGGGTATTTTGACAAGTAGAACAAGATTATTCAAAATTTCGAAACGATTTGTCGATGATTTTGTGTAATCCGCATACAAGGTAAACAACAGCAGACTTTTGGGCAATCCAATAACTGGATTTAACAAGAAACTCAAATAAATCCCTTTGGAAAACGAATATCGGGGATGATTAGTCACTTCATCCGCAGCATATATTCAAAGAAAAAATTTAATGCAGTTTGAAGTTAATAAGGATTTTATTTCAAGGTAGTATTCATCCCAGGCGACACTAGGTGAATAACCATTGAAGGCTTAGGAGCACTGGACAGCTGTTTTGTCCTAGTATGTGACTCCTCAGCAGTACGCACTCACGATCCCGCTAGGGATCGAACTCTGGACATTCATGTCCCATAGCAAACGCGTTCTTCACACATTCAGTGATTAGATTGAAGTGGAATAGTTCACAATTTCTGCCAATCCACGATATTGAGCTACCATCCACCAGGGTCAGCAGTTGGCGTACCACTAATGAGTTCTGCAAGCTACAAAGAAAAAACTGTTCAGTGTTCCCAGGTTTTTAATGGTTTGCAGATTGATGTCAATCTCTGATTATAATACTACTTTACAAACTCTATTGGTGATCCTCGAATCGTAGATGGCAAGCTGTTTAGAAAACAGATAGAAAGAGTCAGGTTTCTAATTGTAGTTATTAGCACTACAGTCCTGGCCAAATCATTGTAAATATATTGTGATAGTAAACTTCACTCAGATCATTGAAGAGGCTGTAACTACTGTAAAAATAAATGAATATCAGCCAACATTATCATTCTTTAGAATTTCGTATAGTAGTAGTTGATTCAGTAAATCCACCTGTGTTACAGGTATGTAGTGAAAGCAGGTTCATCGATCAATATTTATACAGTGAAATAACACAAAACACAGAAAATACAAATTGAGAACTTTCTAGCGATTTTAGATGGCCAGCAATGAAACCTCTTCCAGGCTTCGATTTCATTGTCTTTTCAAGAGTCAATAAACACTGACAAACGTCAGGCACTGTAAGCATCACTGCTGCCACTACTCACATGATTGTGGAACCTGCATGTCAGGCTGTTCACAGGTACATTAATTTGGTAAGCTCTAAAAAAATTTTCGACACTTCAACCTAGATTCTGATGGATACATGCTTTAAGCCTTCCCTTCATACTCATTGAATGAAGTTAGTTATGGGCGTTTTTCAGGCCTTATTTCATGCCGGTACTCAGTGATAGTATTGAAATTAAAATTATTTTTGCCAAATAGATTTGAAATGCCATTAAAATTGTCTATGAACCGAAAAGTACTGCAGATCAGCCATAAAACATCAACAGAGTAGTAGTGGTTTCATATCATAGCTTTGTGAAACTCTGTCATTGATTGGACTGAATTGATCGGCCACTGTGGAGATATGAGTTCCTAAGGAGATACCTGGATACTGCCGGTAGTTTCAGCTTGGATAATAATAGTGATGGCTAGTGACTTGCGGTGGAATCCAGAGAACGCGTTTACTCCTATTTAGGACTGGTCATCTGGATGTAGTTGCCCCATAGTGAGTGACGCATTTAACACTGGTACTTGAAGCAAGAATTAATCGCTCGAAACGCCACAGCTTTATCCGTTAGCCACGATGTCTGTATTGTTTAACTGTTGAAAGTATTCCTTATGTCGATCGGTATGACATTGATTATTCAAGCTAAGGCATAATACAAATGTAATTAGGTACTACATTAGTCTTTATATGTGCACCACACTGACTAAGTTATCAGAGGTCATCGTTTTGATAGAGGATATTTTATAAAATAATTTCGCAAGTGAATATAATATCCTTCAATTCCGGATGATAATTATAATAACATCGTTTGAGAGTCAACAGAATATCTGGTAAGCAAATAACTCGCTCAAATGTTTACAGAGAAGCTGTCTGATATGTCAGGTACTAGATCGCATGGATGACGAATCTAGTTTTTCATACCTCTTAAAAAAGGGTGGATGCAACTGAATTTCAGCTCTTTATCAGTAAAATTCAATGAATTTACACTTACTTCTCTACCTACCGCTCATGAATCGACTAATAAACTAAGAAAACAGTATATTATTACTGCTCGTCTTGAAACTGATTACTCTGCGAATCCAGATGACTTCTGGGACAGAAATAAGAGAGTGGACACCAATTTTGATGATCAGTAATCAATAGTGTCTTACACTGAGCTGTTAATCAGCCACTCTTATTCACAATAACCTGATCAGTCTATCTAAGCTCTTCGGGTATCATGCCACTATCCGCTTTATACACAGCAACTATCAGAAAGACGGAGATATAATGAATGAACAGTTTTACGTCACGAATTCACACAGCAGCCGGGTAAACCCTTTGGTAATTGAAATGGAATGAGGACCTAGTTAGCATTCGCGTTTCATCGGTCAGTTGGTGGAGCATCAGGCCTAAAACCTGGGAGCCTCTGGTTCGAATCTTACCTCAACCAAGATCTGCATCTGCATTTGTCCTATTATTTCTGGAAGTAATCGAAAACGGGAAGTAATCCCACATTCTTTTTTCATAAACACGTGACTCACACAAAGTCACCAAACACGTGGAAATCGACCTCGTGACGATAATTTTTGTTGGAAAAGATTAGTATTCATCATAGACTGGCATCAGCAGGCAAGCCATTGAGAACTTGGTGGCAATGGACAATCGTTTCGTCCTAGTATGGGACACTTCAGCTACATGCACTCATAACCTCGCTAGAGGTCGAACCCAGGACATGCAGGTTTAAAAGCGTATGCGTCAACTGATCAGCCACTAACTGGGTCAAAGTCCAGTAGTCTACAGTTTCCTACTTCTGTCAATTCGCAATATAGCGCGACTAGTTTTGTACCTGAAAGACGTTTGTCAGCTGTTGGAGGTTGATGGTAAGAAAAGTGTGAATGTAAGGTAATACCATGATTTCAAGAGGTTATGAGTGTGATCATAATGTGTACAGATACAAGCTTCTGAATCGTTTTATCCGAGGTCATTACAAGAAATTGAAAAAACCGAAATCCATTCAGCAACCTTATGCACATTCGTGCAGTAGACAGCAAGTCACACCTACTGTATGATAAGCCAAATGATACTATCTAGCTGCTCAAATCTTAATAGGTGAAGCGGTGTTCGATTCCATCACCCACTAGCTGGATCTCAACTCCCTGAAATTCTACGGTCTTAGAATGAATGTCATTCCTAGACACCTATAACAACCCTATATCTGCGTATAATTTACACGTGAATCTTTGTCAATCAACATGTATCATAGATGAAATCCTCAGCTAGAAATAGTTTCTGAACGCACCAAAAAGCTTTTTTTATTTATTACAGAGACCAATAACTAAACTAAACAAAAACTATAACGTTTACATGAGAAACTGTAATGTCCGTCTAACTTTACAATGGTCGATAATATTATTAATCAGATGGATTATCGTTAGAGCAATCCACAGATGTGAGCAAAATATTCTATTGAATACAAATGGTTAACTGATCAGCTACTGGTTGGTGAATTGCTTGTAAAATTTATAGCCTTTCTTTTGATAAATGTAGTGAAAGTTTGTGATAAACTTATGTCTTCGCCAAAATTTATTCCAATAACATACTTGCATCACCAAACGATGAATCAGTGATCTGTGGTTCACTTTTCCCAAGAAAACTTTTTAACTGAACAACTTTCTTATCCACCTGAAATTTAAAAATAATCCCACTGATGTTTACATATTCAATTAGTTAATTAAAACAAAAGTTCCAAATCAACACATATTGGATAAGATGACTAGTTTGAAACACTTGGATTGCTGTTCAGCTTGTTACAAGCTGAGTTGGTTAATTAATAAATTCAGGCTAGTGTAACTCACAGAAGTAAATTATCCATTTGATGCGATAGACTATTCTTATTATCTTCCAAATAATCACATTGCTCGACAGTCAATATATGACGATAATGGAATTACACAGTTCACTTTCGGTTGATCGGTTCTAAGTTACAACCACACTGCTCTTACTTTGTGATCCACAGTACCATAAACTATCAAACATAAGTCACGGTTCATCACTTAGTAAATAAACAATTGTTAAAGGTTACATATTTCCATTACATTTCTTAGTGGCAGACTTTCTGATTGCCTTTTTGGTACTCAGAATCTTCAACGTCTGATTTTCAAAATAAACCTGAACAAAACAACTGACCTATTAAATCTTTGACTCATTAGCGAAAGAAGATTGTGTCACAGATTTTTCTTCCCATCCAAACCTATTATGCTGCACACTACAAGTACTGGAGAATTTTAATTTCCATTGAATAGTTTTAATGAGAGAGAGAGAGAGAAGGAGAGGGACAGGTAAACCTCCTGGAAGTTTGTACCACAATTTATCATTCCATCTCCATCTCATGAGACGTAAACAGCTTTTTTTCGAAATCAGTAAGATCTATCAAATCTTAAGGTGAGTTTTCGAGTAGGATATAACCTACTTGGAGTCCCCGTGGTTAACAACTATCTAATAGTGTTGAGCAAATATAATTTTCGAACAAGAAAGATATCTCAATACTAATTTATCATATGTTTCAATAATATTAGGAGAATGAGTTCAAAAATCGATAAGAATAAACTGAAAGAAATACTATATTTGACATGGATTTCCTGTGAGTGCATAATTCTTCAAAATGTCAGAATATAAACTTTAGTTCTAGACGTGAATATGACCTATGTAAACGGCTTAGTTCTCATGGTTTTTTTTCTTCTATTGATGGTTGTGCACTAGAGAATGTTACAAGTGTGATTTATCTCGGTGTGTGCTTTTCTTCGAATCTTTTCTGGTGTTACCATATCTTACTGTAGTAGGCATAGCTGATAAGAATGGATATAAGTAGTGTATGTTGAGAGGACGGCAGAAATCATGGTGAATCACCAACAATGGGTAAGAATCATGCCCAGAGGAACGCAAGAGATAGCTCTGGCCTGTGAAGAGCAAATCAAGAGAAAAGTAGAAGAGGAAATGAAGCACATTTTGCAAATGACGGTCTTAGTGCGAGGTGTACCATATTTTACTGTACCACTTGTTAACAGTAAATATCCCTTCCTTCCTTCTTCTCTGTCGTCTCGTTTCCTTTCATTACTATTTTCCAAAGGGATTTTCCGCATAACGTTTTATATTAGGAAGCTGAGAGTATCTGGTATAACTTAGCCTCTCCTTTTGTGTTTTATAAACTCTTAAATCTTTTCCCTGTTCTACTATGTTGTTCTCTTTTATTTTCTCATGGATTTCTGGAAAAAGACTATGCTTTGTTGCATAGAACTTTGAAGGTTGTCAGCAGAACTAGTCGTGTACCCATAAAAATCCTAGTTAAAGCAGTTATGGACAAACATATTACCTAATGTAAACCATCTGGCAGGAATTATTTTATCAGATGACCCGCATCCTCTTCACTCAAAGCTCTATCAGTATCAGTCATCTGGGAATACAAGGAGCAAGTATATAAGACTTTATGCACATACTACAAAATATAAAAAACTCTACAATACCGTATTTAGCTCATCTGCTGAGCTATGAAGAAGGCATTAGAAGTGAATTAACTAACCAACTTCTGTTTTTGTAAGAAAACTAATTGATGATAAGCAAGTTACTATTACTACTTACTTATTCTGAACCTAACTGTACATTTTCAAGGAAGTTGTAGATGGAGTGAATATTATTAGCTTTTTTTACGTGTGTAATTCATACTTATTTCATTTTGCCATGTAAACATGTACACTGTCCTTGTCTAATTGATGCTACATGATATGCTGAAAATTCTGTGGAGTACTCCCGAAAAAAACTTTCAGAATAAAGCCATTGTTATCCTTTTAAAATTATCTAGTCAAATCAAAGTGATCCATTCAGCTGATGAGTCCCAGATAGGACGAAACACTTGTCTCAGGATATAACTGCTAGGAACCAAGCAGACTAAAGTAAAATGATTCTCACTGTTGTAACCGAACTAATTTGTTACGATGAAAAACTTGGTCAACTGGTATCAACGAAGTTTTTGATAAAGATTACAAAATAGAACCAATCATAAATAGGAAAATATGCTACTGAATATAACAACTAACTCAATTTGATTGTAAAATATGACTAATGTAATGTCTAGTGGAAGTTTTACTGCTTCTAAGTTGGACTGTTCAAAGCTTCGTCAAGATATTCCTATTTTCCATGAGTATACATACAGATCATGAATTCAATTTCAGTCGATTGGTGTTTAACCATTTCCTATCTAGTTAATTTTATCCAGAAATTTTCTTGTGGACTCCAACTAGATGACATCATCAACTTACTACCATATTGGTAAGCATGAATTTCGAATCTTCATTTATTTTCTGCACTTAAAAAGTATGTCTTAGTGGATAATTCTTTGGATTTCGAAGCGGTCAGTTTTGAGTTAAAACCTCAGAAGGGACAACATCAATCACTAGGAGATAGGTACAACCAGTTGACGAGCCCCGAACAGGGCGAAATGTGCGTCGTCAATTCCCCTTCTAGCCACTACCCATCAATAATATTTAAAGTATGTTGTCATTACTACCACGAATATTTCATTTCATTTGTAAGCTGTTTGCAGCTGATGAAAGCCCGTGAAATTAGACAAGCTCATCTTACTCTGAAAATATCATTATTGAAAGGTACTTACATTAGTTTTCTCCAACCAGTAAGGTAGGGATAGATCAGTAGCTGAGACAAGCCTTTCATACTCATCAAATATTTGACAGGCTAATTTTTTATCTGTTTTTGCTAGAAAAGTTGTACAGTTCAAAAGGACCAATGGATTTTCACTAAAATGTAAAGCAGATGTTTGAAATAGTTTCCCTTCAATGATTTAAGTATTAAGAACTTTTAGTCAAAAACAACCGTTAAATATTAAAAATGATTTAATATAAAATGTTGTAAATCGAATTGAAAATATTTAAAGTACTTCAATTACTTGGGAAGTAGCATCAGTTCAAACGGGTTGGTTGTTAACGAAATCTCAGCTCGAATACAGAAGGCCTGGTTAGCGTTTGTCAACTTGCGTCACCTGTGCTGTCAACTCACGAGATATCCGACTGCCTATCAAAGGACGAATATACTGGGCTGCAGTCCGTTTTCTCCTGGTAAGTGGCTGAGAGACATGGCTGTTGGAGGTAGATGATAAGAAGCAGACACAAGTGTTTGATCATCGATGTTTTTGTAGTATTGCTCGTGTTCGGTGGGATCATTGTGTGAGAAATGTTGAAGTCAGGTGGAGGGTACTAAGCAAGACAGACAAGTCAATTGATGATATTGTGAACCTTAGTCAAGTGAGGTGGCTTCCACCTTTACTGTACATGCCGACATACCGCCTACCTCGACGTGCCATGCCACGGACAGCTGGATTAAGTTGAAAGAGGGTTCAGGGTAACCAGACCAAGATGCGACATCAGCTGATACAGTCTCTGACCTTTGGTCTGAGTCGTTTAAGAAGATTTAGACTACATAGTTAGAGCCTCCAAGACGAAAGGAATCAGTGGTTGAGGACTCTTGGTAACATGACTGAAAATCGATAGCAATGGTGAAGATGTATTCACTTCATGATATGGTCTAAAGCTTGAATACTGGCACTGACCTTTATCCTCATACTAATTTGTCTACTTCGATGTCAATCTTTTTCTGTCTACGTATTCTTTGTGTACTCCTATAAAGCTTGGGTCTATGAACCCATGTGCTAGGTTCCACGTTAATTCTGTATATCTGTCTGTTCATTTATTGCATGAAATTTAACTGATTAAGCCAATAACTATAATCTGCAGCTGAAGGCAGAACCAAAAGAGCTAAAAAATGGCCATTATATGTGGTATACAAAACGTTTAAGAAGTCTAAGGTGTTATTGTTATTATTATTCGTCCCTTAGGTTCCTAGTGGAATATAGGGCTTCAGTAGCATGTCGCCATTTCACTGTCTTTCCTAAAGTCTTTTCAACCTGGCTCCACCACTGCCCAGAAGCTTTCATTTCTTCCTCACACCGTCTCATCCATGTCACCCTTGGACCCCCAACTCGTCGTTTCTTCATTGGATTCCACTCGATGACATGGCCTGGTGCGTAATGTCTCCAGTCGGCCTTCTCAGTGTATGCCGAATCCAATCCATCTCCACTTTCTTCTGCATATTTGTTGTGCGATAGGTTCTTAGATGGTTCGTTGGCAGAATTTCTTGTCTAAGGTGTTAACTTCCACTGAAGATGAATCTATAAACTCCTTTATTTTTCAGACTGACATAAATTGAAGAACCAATGAGAACCTGCAAGTATTGGACTGACGTCTCATTCTAATATGAGATTCCTGAGCAGTACGCGTCCAAGACACTCCTAGAAACCGAACTCAGGACCTAAAGGTCTTTCGGAAAACGCGTTAGCAATGTAGCAACTTGGATGGAGTTTAAAGGTCCACATTTTCTTAATTCTGTTTCGTACTAAAATGAAACAATTTCCCGGTACTCCCAGGTTTACAATGATTCTCCAGCTGATGTCAGTTTAAAATGAATAATATGTAACAATATGTAAACAGTATTTCGTTCACATGCCTTTTTACAATTTATTAACATAGGAAGCATTCAGTGTTTGTCAGTCAGTTAGTAAAAGTATCTAACATCACTGTGCCTCATCCTAATAGTTGACATAATTCCACTCACCCGTGTGTCTAATTCATTTTTACTGACTAGCCGTAATCTGAATTACCTTGAACATCTTTTAGGGTAGGGTTGAGTAAAATGGATTCAAATCATTATGGGCATATTTTACAGCCACCTACTCGACATTGGTGCTACAAGAAAATTTCCTCTATAACAAAGTACATCAAATTACTACCTTTCAATTTGATTTAATCTTTTAAAGTATTTTTAACTAGCCGTTTTTCAGGTTAGCAGCAAAACGAAGAAAAAATGTCATGGTAGATAGAAATAGACTTATAAATGCACAAAAATGCATAATATTGATATCAGTAGAATATTACGCTTAAATTTTAGATTCTTTTACTGGACAAATGAAACACTACAAACAAGCTTACACTCGATTTTCTGTTCATTCCTCATTCCAGATCAGACAATATTCCACATTATTGCCTTTAACACTCTGATATTTGAAACGATTGGTCCTAGCTTCGAGTCTTAACAAGAACAACATCACTCACTGGGAGGAAAGTACATTCAGCTGATGAAGTCTAAATAGGACGAAATGTACATCCTCGATTCCACTGTTAACAACTATCCATCATTACTGCCCTTATTATAACCACTATTAACATTATTCAATCGTTTAAAATACTGCGTCAGATATGAATTATTTGAAATATTAAGTACTTAAAATTTTCATAATGTATCAAAAATATTGTTTGGAATGAAGAGATTAAGAGTATTATTTAATAATGAGTACCATAATCATTGAAAGTTAGTTTAGTTATGAAATTCTGATGATTGCCTTTAACCATATAAACTTTTTCTGGTAAGTGTAATTATGAGCACAACGAAGAAATGAAATGATATGTTTTTCAGTGAGGAAGAATAATTGAAGTTCAAGTAGATGATAGAAGTTGTGGTAAAAGATAAAGAACAGGTTTGCAGCGAAAAAGCGTTAGTCTTTCAACGAAATCATTTGTTACACTATAGATAAGAAAGGGTAGAACATTCCGGAAATATTTCCTATTAAGGGTCAAAATACATTGAATAATGAAAGGGTTTAGAGCGGGAAAAAAAACAAGAGATTAAAAAACTTTAATATAATTATATATTATAGGATCTATCTAGACCAGTTAAGGTTCTATGATGCCCGTTGCAACGACAAAAGTTGAACGTAGTTTTTTGAACAAATAGCAGTGATTTTGAACTTCTGGATAGCTACACTGAAACGCTTTGATCTTCCTCCCTTTAAATGGCTTGATCGAACCATGTAGAGAATTTTGAAAGACTTCTCAGAAGAAACTGAGTGATTTGGATTCAATAGGTGACCTGTTACGGAGCTTAAGATGAAATCTAGTTTTCCCCCTTTGCTACCCAGGCTGAAGCTTAACAACCAGGTGTATAGGACTAAGCTCCATAGCAGCAAGTAAACCCGTATACGTCCATTGATGTAGCTCAATGCGTCAGCTTGACTTTCACAAACAGACAAAAAGTTCCCTTGCAGAAGAAAATTATTCGAAGGTTGATAAAGAAGCATTTTGTAATTAAGGATCTTCAAAGTCGTTTTCTGAGTATATCTTCAGCAATGTCATTTTTGAACTCAACATTCAGCATAAAGATATTGTGTGACACTAAATTTGCTCGTTTAGTTGTGTTCTCTGGCATTAAGTTCTTATTTATGAGTTCAGGGAGCACACCATTTTCTACTAGAGTTCTTTAAAGATTTCCTATGATCTTGATTGTGTTGCATTCCCTAAGCTAGCTGGTTAAATAATGAAGCTTTCATTGTTTCTCTAGAAAACACCATCAGTATTAACTTCAGTATGAAGTGAGTTATCAGTATTTCTAAGTGAAGGATTCAGCAGCTTAGCCTGATGAGGTAGTTTATGATCACGACAAGACTGTTAAGGCCATATGAAATGGCGTGACTCATAAACCACCGAACTCTCTTCAAACCATATCATGCGAATAAAAGAGCGCAGCATCTGAAAAAAGATAAATCAAATCGGGCCTCGTAGCTCAGTTGGAAGAGCACCAGGTCGGTAACCCAGTGGTCGCTGGTTCGAATCCGATCGTGGTCTAACTTTTCATCTCAATTTCAATCATCACCCGGTATCAAATCAAATACTTCTGAGGAGTCTCATACTAAGACGAAACAGCTGCGCAATGCTCCCGGGTTTTCAAGGGGTCCTCCAACTGATGTCATCCAGTGATGAATACTACTTCAAAATCAAATATTATTTCGATAACCAACTGCAACAACTGCCACCAGTAAGTAATATATTGGTCTAAGTGGTCACTTTCTTCGCCTTCGTTTACATGAAAATCAATGGGCTATTAAACGTCACGACATTTTGTCGGTCATATCAACCAATCCATGTGGACAAGTATGGAATTCTATGTTGAAAATGCAGAGATGTAGGACAGAGGGTACACGAAGAATATCAAAGAACTCCTAGAAGCTTGGCATTCAGATCTATCAGTAATCATTATATATATATATATATATATATATATATATATATATATATATATATACATAGACCTAACCAACGAATCGATAGGAAAAGATACCAAGGGACTATGGGATCAGAGGTCAGGTAGAGAAACGGCGGTTAGAAAAAAACTATACAATCCATGACATAACAATCCAACAAAACCACAGCTAGATACAAACCTCTCCGTCAGCTTAGGCTACTGATTCACTCACCGAGAAATCGTGACAGCTCACTTCAGATTGAATTAAAGTTGTTGCTGGTGACGTTTTCTAGAAAGACGATGAAAGCTTGTGGAAGATACTACTAGTGAACAACTTGAGTAGTTATAAACCACACAGGTTGATCCGTTGTATTTTGCCAGTCAGAAAAGAGTGATCTAAACACCGGACGGTCGTTTGACTCGTTTGGAGATGAGCTCATCAGTTCAGATCACCTGAAGCTCGGTAACATGGACCAGAATACCTAAATTGCGATGATTCCTTTGGAAGTGATTTGCAAGTTGTACAGTCAAAGCTGAGTAGTTTTTAAACTGCCCAACTGTGGTGTTAACAGGGTCTCCATTGGAAACCACCCAGCTGAGATCACAAGGTTTGACCCATGACACAAATGTGTCATAAACTAACGAAAGCTTCATGAGTGAACAATTCAGTTCAGAGAACGTAACACAACCAATATTTCTGGACAAAGTATTTGTTGAGTGCTATGGAATAAGACATATCCCTTAGATTCTTCAAATAAACCTGGGATTTACTGAAAAACTTTCACAATCAATCATGGTATGCTGAACATTCGAGAAAAATCACGTATGATACATGTGAGTATCAGATTGGCTAAACGGCTCTCTAGAAAAGTGTAAGACATAGATATCAAGGCCATTGAAAACGTATATAAATCGTTACCTTTTGTACACATTCATCTTGACAGCAAACTTTTTTTCGTTTTTACCGCTTCTGTCTGTTCTTGAGGAACCCAGCGACTCTCAAGGTTTATTATTCATATAGATATATATAACTCAGGTTATATCAATGAGAAACCAGTAAAATGTTGTTCAAACGATAATGAAGTATTTTTTCTAATCATTCTTAATGAATAAACATACTGGAAAATATATCACAAGTGTGGAAAGTATATTAAGTGACAAATTAAAAATATCCACAGTGAGAGAGTATTAAAATAAAATGATGCTGAAACCTTTAATGTCTGACAGCAGGCACTTTGTTCATTGCCATCACTGTTATCAATTTCATTTTATATAACCACATATAGTTTGAGCTATCTGATGAAAAAATTGGTTGATAGAACTTAACCTATAACCCTGATAACTTCCTTATCTCAGAGTATTTACATGTTATATCGCAAAATATGATTTCAATAAGGTATATGCACGCCGATGACCTATGTCTAATGTCACACAAACTTGAAGATCTACAGACGAAATCCAACAAGTTGACAGAAGAGACAGCGAAGACGGGACTTCAAGTGAATATAGAGAAGACAGAGGTGGTGAAGATACCCAACCAACACCATCAACAACAACAACAAGCTCCAATCACCATCAAAGGGAGAAACTTAAAGGAAGTAGCCTCTTTCACCTATCTAGGCAGCACTGTTTCAACTACAGGCGGCACAGACGAGGACGTCAAAGCAGCCAGGATCCGAAAAGCAAGACAGGCCTTCATTAGCCTGAAACCAGTGTTTGGAACAACATCCGGATTTTCAACACCAACGTCAAGTTAGTGCTGCCATATGGTTCAGAGACTTGGCGCGTTGCGAAAGGCATTTCCAACAAACTATAGACATTCATCAACAAGTGTCTACGCTGGCTCGTTACTGAAGATCAGTAGGCCAGAAAGAACAAGCTACAAGGAACTCTGGGAACGAACCAACCAAGAAGCCATCGCTCAACAAACATGCACTGGAAGAAAGTGGAGATGGATTGGGCAAACACTGAGAAGGCCGACTGGGGACATCAAGCGCCAGGCCAGTTGCTCGAGTGGGACTCAGATGAGAAGCGACGAGTTGGACGTCCAAGGGTGACATGGAGGAGATAGTGCGAGGAGGAAATGAGAGTTTGTGGGCTGTTGTGGAGCCAAGTTCAAAAGATTACAGAGAAGAGAGTGCATTGGAGACGTGCTACTGAAACCTTATATTCCATTAGGAACCCAAGGGAAAAATAATAACAATGTGCATGCCAATCGACAGAGTAAATGTTTCTACCAGTCTTCAATTCTCACTTTCAATCTTTAAGTAAACAGTTTCATATGAAATTAAATTATCTTTCTAACTAATCATAATTACAAATATAACTTACTGACTTCGCGTATATGCATTCATGAAAGCCTCATATGCTTTTAAATATTCCTGAAGTTTGATTAAACAATACGCCAATAAGCAGTACAACATTCCAATATCATAGGAAATTTTATTGTTCATACATGATGTTGATTTTTGTTCAAATGAATTAAAAAATTGTATAGATGTTGTAAAATGTTGAAATCCACTTAACCATTGTGATGTTTGAATACATAATATGCCTATATTGGCGGCTATTCTCCAATCAAATGGTGTTAAGTAAAAAGCACGTTTGAAACAAGTTATAGACTAGATAAAGATTAAGAAAAGATAGTAAGACATCAATAAAATAATGAATTTTTAGGGTGATTTTATAATAATTCCTTAAAATAACAATGAAAACAAGCAGTAATAACATATTAAGTAATGATTTATCATAGTTATTTCATTTGTTTTCCAAAAAGTACATTCTATTTCTACGGCAATTATATTTAACTTTCAATTCTATGATTCAAGTACCTGATTTAACTGAAACACTTGGAACCATTCGGTAATATGTTTCGTATCAAATTTTAGTACATTAACACGATGCAACAATGTCCTATGTTTTACCTACTCTCAGGCATTGTTGATTTTGAAAAATTTTCACACTTTTAATGAGGTGAAATAAACGAAACAGCTGAATATAAAACTCATTTTAGATTGAAAAAAAGACATCTAAGAGAAACAGGTAGGCTCCAGATTCGATCGAATCCACAATAACTACCGTGATATCCATGTCCAGATTTCATATAACCAAGGGTTATATATATATATATATATATATATATATATATATATATACATATCATTAAACCAGTCATGTAGATTTGTCGGTGATGTGATAAATATTTTAAGAATAACGATGGTGATAATAATACAAATAACAATAATGATAAAGTTGACTAAAGTACTTGCAATATAGATGATAGTATTGATAAGAACCAAGAAAGCGGTATGAAACTGTAGACACTCCAATAATAAAAGTGGATCAAAAGCTTGTGAAAATAAAAGTTACATAATACTGAAGGACGGAGTAACTGGATCAATAGAGCCTAGACAAATACAGTAAGCATGTGAAAGGGGTGAAGAACGGGAAAGGGGTAGGAAAAAAGAACTCAATAATAAAGTTATTAACTGAGTATCCCTGACCAAGGGAGAAATAAGAGATGTACAAACTTCTTCTGGATACAAAGACTAGGATGATTAGCTCGAATTCCCACAGCTGTTGGTATGTGTAAAAGACAAGTTTGAATGCCTTTGAAAGATGAGATGGTATGCGGTGAATAATCATGAAAGCACTGCTCTCATCAATCAGGTGACCACTATCAACGAGGTGAGATAAAACTGAATTTCTGATGGATTTTATCTGTCCCTTTCCCAACCATCAAGGTAGATGCTCAATAACACGTTTTGTTAAGTTGTCTAGTAGTACGTCCTATATAGCTTTCTCCACAGGAGCAGCTAAACTTGTAAATACACATAAAAATAGCAAAACTATATACCTTATCTTTTATCTGAGCAGCAAGAATTGGTCGACTGGAAAATGAAATTTCCTAAACAACGGTTTCTTTTGTATGATAATAGTTCCAGGTTTTTTCCTCCTGGCTTTGTCCATGTGTCTTTTTATGAAACTATTAGGGTAGGCTATTTCAACCAACGAATTAGAACAGTATATCCCATTGATTTTTGCTTTTTCAACCAATCTGCTATTTAAACTTTGTTTCACATGCTTTTTCCTGAAGATTCGGAGCAGAATGATCGATTGTGAAAGGTTTCAGGAGTTTCGCGCCGCTTAAGAATAACTTGGCAATCTTATTGCACACAATTAAAATAATATATTTTCACTCTCCGACGTTAATGAACACAAATATGATCACTAATACCCCAAACTATTCATGTTATTTGAAGGCGAAATCAGCAGATTACATGATGGTTTACTTTCCTGAAGACATTAGGTCAACAAACTCTGGAATTTAAGCTTGAAGTCAAACAATGTGGATAATAGTTTAGCCACTGTCTTCAGAAAAGGAAACCATCACAAACAATCCTTCAGAGACATCTATGATCAAAAACCTTTAGCCTTCTCATTTCTTCTACTCCCAGTTAGTATATCCTACAGCCAAAGATCAACATAGAGTGAGCTACTGCGCAATATACTCAATACTTGGTAGGCAGTTCTATACCTTGCTAGCATAATAGACGATGATCACAAACGGGTCTGATACATACATCCTGAGATGGTATCAGCAACCAGTCCATGGTTGTTGTTGTTACTTACAGAATTAGTAGAGTGGTAAGTGCCCTCAATCACTCCACTTCTGGTCACTTAACTATGCATCAGTGTCGACTTCGAAAGCATAATCTCATACTTCGTAGGTATTTGAAATGTAGACTACATTTATCTTACTTTGGTGATAGTTTTGTATAAGGAGTGACTGGCATGTTCTATGAATATGCTATTTCTAGTTTTTGGATTGGGTTATTATTGGATAATATGTGAAAAGTCAGATGGTTAGTAGTTCCACCTTTTTGGCTTTACTCATTTCACCTATCGTTTGACTATAATGAGCCTACAGTGTAAAAACTGTAAGCAAAGTAGCACTCAGTTTACCACTTTTCTAGTAGTTTCTCTCCAGAGATAAAATGCTAGAGAAAAACAATCAGATTGACGCCCTATGAAGTTAAAAAAACACTGCAAGAAAGAGGAATTCATCTTAGGGATTTGTTACACTTTGAGGTTATCCTTTTAGATACAGATACTTTACATTATCCAGAGGTGATAACCGGTAAAAAGCTCAAATATGGAACTTTCTACCTATCACCTACTAAAATAGGAAAATATCCAATGGAGTTATTTAGTAAAACAGTAGTTATATAGTACTCATTCATCCATGGAATGCAATCACCATAGACAGCATCATCTTGCTGACAAATAACATACAATTTATCTAAGGAAGATATTCTCGTCGAATAAATGTGATATATCCTTGCTATAATATACATACGGGGACACCACGCGCCAGGTCCTCGAGTGGAACCCAGATGGGAAGCGATGAGTTGGACGTCCAAGGGTGACATGGAAGAGATCGTGAGACGAGGAAATGAGAGTTTGTGGGCTGTTGTGGAGCCAAGTTCAAAAGATTACGGAAAAGAGAGTTCACTGGAGACGTGCTACTGAAGTCCTATATCCCATTAGGAACCCAAGGGACAAATAATAATAATATACATAAGGGTGGTCACTTCGAAAATTATTCTTATTTTTATGAAAGGAAACAGTACACTGTCTATAAAGAGAAGTGCTCCACTTTATTTCCTACTGAAGTTGGTGTCCCTCAAGATGTTGTACTTTCTTTTTTTCTGTTTTTTTTTCCTTTTTCACGATCCATTTTACTCTTTTGAAGCCAATTTTATTAAGTATGCTGATGATTCGACGGTGTCTATTCCAGTCAACTCTCACTCGGACTGCTCTGAATTAAATGAATTCTTGTCTCTTATTGACCAACAGTATATCTCAAGTGGTCTCAGGTTAAACCCTTCTAAATGTCAGATTCTTAATTTTATCCACAGGAGTAAACAAGACTTGTGTGAGCCGCTTACGTCTCACAATGCCTGTTGCAATGACGGTATTTCTACAGAAAGAAAATCCAGTGTTAACTATCTTGGATTGACTTTTACTTTTATCTCTATTGGTCGTCTCATATCTTAACTGGTAAAAAAATCTTTCGTTTAACGTATTTCATAAAGAAACTGAGGCTCTGTGGTATAACTCAACTTCTACTTTTACAGTTTATTAATTCCTGCATTTTAACTATTCTTCTGTATTGTTCTCCGCTGATCGTTCCTGGTCTTCCAAAAAAGGGGTTTGAAAGCCGTAAGTAGGGTGCGTACTATGCCTCTGACCAAATTGATTAACACTGCAGTTGACGAACATTTATATTCTATCAATCAATTAGCTATAATAATTTCGACTGAGACCGAGCATTCACTTCATTCACAGCTCTCTCCTTGTATCTTCTCAGGAAGAACAGGAAGAAATTACATAAGACTGTACGCTAGTACAGCTAAGTATAAGAATTTGACTGTACCTTACCTAGCACGCATATTAAATAAGGGGAAAAAAATGTTAGAACGGAACTCACATATCCACTTTGTAATAGTTAACAATCTCATTTCAGTAGTTTAATTAACAATGTAAAATGTTCTCGGTTCTAATATTCTTTGCATTACACAAGTAAAGATACACCTTATACAATGATTCTTTGCATTACTTAAGTATTTATAATAAAAGAACTCGAAATGTACATATATTTTGTTCTTATTGCAATATATCATACTGAGAATTCTAAATTGTATCAAAAATTGTTTGGAATAAAGTGAATATTATTATCATTAGTCTTTAGATTCCACCCTTGATGGTCGCTCAGTCTCTCGGCAAATAGAAAAGGTAGCAAGATCATAGAAGGTGTATGGAAACGTCAAAATACGTACAAAATACTACGGTTTATATATATATATATATATACATATATTAATATATATATATATATATATATATATTTTAAGTGGCCTTGATTGTTTCTAAGTATTTTCGAAAAGGCATATTCATTGATTTAGTCTCTTCAACCAATCAGTTATTTGCACATAGGTTCTCATTTTTTTCTCGAAACTTCGAAGCAGCATGATTGGTTGTGGAGTGTTTCAATGATTCATTAGGCCTCTCTATACGGATATGGGAAATTTTATAGCATTTTATAACAAAATTTTATGTAAAATATAAATATATTATGGTGATTATTTCATGACAGTGTATTCCAAAAATACTTACAGCTACTAAATTCTTCTTACCCAACAATGCTACACCAATATTATTCCATAGTATTGAACTTTCTGAAGCTTGTTTTAATATTAACCGACATTTGTTTAGAGCAACATCATAATCACTATGCAGTGAAATAATTATACTTGCAAGTTGATTAGCATTAAAATGATTTGGTTGTAAAATAATTGCTGAACTTAAACATTCAAATGCTAATTGTTCTTGATTCGTCTGAAAATATAATGAACCGAGATTGTAGAGTAGATCAGGATCTTCAGGAGCCAACCTGTCAAGTAGGTCATTAGGGAAAAAGTATGAAGAAAAAATAAGTTTACAATTAGTGATATGTTGTGGTAGATAAACAGACAGGTAAAAATGCTGATAGAAAGATAAACAGACAGACGTGAATAAAGACTATAAACAAAAATAAATTAAAATAACACCTAGAATGACTTGCAATTTGAGGTTATAGGGATTTTATTTTTAAGGAAGTATTCACTGTGATGTGACATCAGTTGGACAAGCATTGAAAACCTGGGATCAATGGACAGCTGTTTCGTCCTAGTACGGGACTCCTCAGCAGTACGCAGCCATCACCCAACTAGTGGTTGAGCTTGAGCCCTGAAGGTCTCTCAGCGAGTACGTTAACCACACAGTCACCTAATTGAAGCTCAGCGGTTCACAGTTTCCAACTTCTGTCATTTCATGATATATCGCGACTATCCGCCAGGTCACATCTTCTCATTAGAACTTCCAGATATCTATCTTCAAGCATGATTGTTTATTTTTCCAAACCACATAAATGTTATGACAATAAGGGTGAAGGGAAAATGGCAAAAAATATTGCTGGCAATATTTGAAAAACGAGATAGAACAATAAGTAAAGAGTCAAGCTATATCACGAACTGACAGAAGTAGAAAAATGTAGAACATTGAGTTCCGACCCAGGCAATCAGTGATAATGCGCTTGTCTTGAGATGTTGAGGTCGTGGGTATGTACTTCCTCAGAACGAAACAGCAGTCCAGACTTCCCAGACTCCCAATGGTTCTCCAAGTGTTTTCAGTCCATGATGAATACCAACTTGTTTTCTCCAACCAGCAACTGATTCCAGAGTGTGTAAGGGATAAACTACCGCTTTGGGCCACCTTTGCGAATTCACCTGCTTCTGTAGAGTTGGTTACATAGGCCACAAAAAACGTGTTCTATCAAAATGCATCTCCAAACACTATCCTGCATATCTGTCTAAGGGACAGTGTGAAGTCATCAACAACTCGCTTCTTAAGCATTTGCTTATCTCATCACTGTGCTCCATACGAGTCTTCTTTCAAAGTCATTTATGAAGTGTAGTCAAATAGTTTGAAGAGGGTGTGTATTCGCTAACTCAACACACCAGGGGCTTTGGCAAAACAGAGGTACAAGCCTGTTCTTTGTGTCCAAAAGAGATAAGTTCAATCTCTGGTTTTGCCTATAAGCAATTCTTGACGACCTTGAGTTGATCTTCTAGCCGCTGTCACCTTGTGACTTTATTGACCGTTTTATGATGACCTTGTGCTGGGTATTGTTGTAACTATGATTACGATTGTACAGCTTTGAAAATGATTCATCGGGAAGGAAATTTTCCTCACTGAATTATCTTTTGTCAGTCTTTCCTCAACTAAACATTTATACAGGTTGTTTGATTGATAATGTTCAGCCAAATCCAATCGGTAGTTTCATCGAACGAATATGCCACTTCCATCTTATTTGACCATGTTAGTTACGATTTTCCATCAAAGCCTTTAGACTTGTATAACTAACTCCATGCGCAGACTGTAATTATTGGCTGATTATCAATTGCAGGTGAAGTCAGATTACAAGGACTTCGTAGATTGTTCGAATAAGTATAGCAGAAACGCATTGGGTTTGAAACCACAAATGAATAATTAACTATTTAAGCAAGTCTTACAAAGGATTATCACTTCAACTAATAACAAGATAATCTTTTTGAATGATGCTTAACAAATTTCTGATGTTATGATATGGTATGGTATTCACTGTCATGTTCTCATAGTTGGGACAGTCTAATTATTAATATTCTCTGAGGTAAAAACAATGAAACTGACAACTGTCAATCATTTCATCACTTCAACTGTTTCATTGATCTAATCAAATCGCTTATTTGGTAGAAGTAAGTTAACGCCATTGTAAACTTGAGTGACTCTAAAGACCATTTTAATAACTACTGAAATAACCAATCAATTTTCTCTGTTACGGCTAAGAAGGTAGTCATTTCACATTATACAAAAACCTGATTGGTCATTAAAGTCGTCAGAGTGACCTTGAGGGTCACTGGTAGAATTGCCAACATATGCAGGTTCAAATTGTGTGCAACCACTTTCCAGTATCAAGAGTTCACAACTTTTTCGCATGACTCATGAATAGATTTCGTTTTTCAAGTCTGAAATAAGGCGGTGGAATTCGACAACCCATTATACGTTTATGCTTTAAAATATGAGGCTGTGTGAAGGCGGTTGTGTGGTTATAATATGAGGCTTAGAAACAGTTAGTCCCTTTTATGAGTTTATATAGTGTAATTAGAAGAAAATAAAGTTTATCTGAAGAATGTGATGTAGTGTAAGAACAAATTTTTTTTTATACAAAAAGGTGGTTTCAATTTGCTTATGGCTATCTTAGAATGCGTCCCAGACTGTTTCTTCCCAAAGCTATTTAAGCAATAATTTGTGACCCCTTTCTATAATATTTTTAGCTATAGGTGAAGAGTTTTGTCTCCTACCTGTGCTCATCAAAGTTTCACACTTCATTCTGTCAGTTGGATGGAGGTAATCAGAAGGAAGCTCTGGATTTAGGTTATGTACTGGCTGGCGCTCGTCAGTAAGACGTATCCCCAACCCCGACGGAACTGATGTCCTGCCTGAAATGTGAACCCACGCCACCCAGTGTTGCAGTTAGCAGTGTTACCACTGAGATACTCGGGTTGCGGCTGACCTCCTGTAGAACTGGACTAGATACATTGATTGGTCACTAACATCTGTCAAAGTGCATCGTGATGCTGAGCTGCGTAGTCTGGTGGCCACATTGCAAAATGATTGATAGAATTCGGTCAAGACACAGGACTAGACTATATGAAGTTGGTTAGACTCTAGTGAACAATCAATACACTTCATCTGTTCTCCCGCCTGACTCAATCACTTCTCCATATATATGTATGACCATACATACATGTGACCTGGTAAACATAATAGGATGTGACGTAATCATTTATGTACAGTTTTGCCTTTCCACAATGATAAGATTTTGCTATATAGCACGTTCTACTTATCGCTGATTTTAACCTACGTCTCAAAACTACACCATTCAACTCCATTATATGTGGTAGATTGATATGGACAATTTTCTTAGGAACCATGTATAGAGTGTTTCGGTCAGTAATTTTATATCTTCTTCGATCATATCTGATGTACAGACATGATAGGTCCTAAAAATCAATAATATAGGAGTAAGACCTAGGTACTATGGGAGATTGTAATTCCATTTTATTCTGTTTATTAGAAATGTCACACAGTGTGATGAGAAAAGACTTTGGGAGTTTTCGACTTCTTACGAACATTTCTGTAATATTATTCCACAGTATTTCACATTGGAAACCAGTAAATACTGAGTAACTCTTTAGTTGTAACGTAACATTGTGCACAGATCATCGTTAAGTTTCACATAAGGTGTAACACAAGTCTTCAGTTGGAATCGCCTCGCGATGTAGACTTTAAACAGATCCAATACTACGTTGATCAGTTGATGAAGTGTATTATAGCTGCATCATCTTGTATAGATAATAACTTATGATTATATGTTCTCTTTAGGGAAACTGTTGTTTATTGAAAATGGTTTCCCCAGTTGAAAAATTTCATTAACTAATAGTGTCATATAGTGGAACAGTATCATTTACTGGGTAAAGTTTCGGACACAATATATTGTTCACACTCATATCAGGTAACTCCATAACTTTGAAACAGAGTTTATATACTCCCAATTTTTTCTCCTTCTTTGTGATGACAAGGGTAGTAGAATTTTCCATATATCTGAGACAGGTACAGAAACATTCCTGTCACTGGATGTATTTGGTGTTGATTCGATCAACAAAGATTTAGTCGGTTATCAATCTCTCCTTCCACGCAACTAAGTTTTTAATACTGTCACTCTATCCACCCTATTGTAATGATTGCGTGTAATTGCGTGTACAGCTATAGCCGAGCTTTTTTTCAAATTTCTTATCTTATTAGGATCTACTAATCTTGATTTAGCTCAGCTTTTGTCTTCGGACAGCCTAATTGATTATGGTCTATGTATTTGACCTGGCAACCATTGCAAGAGATTTGGTAAAGTAAATTACTCTGCCGAATTGAATTTATAAGATCTTTTAGCCTACAAAACTTGTTTCCAAGCTAGTTTTTTTGGATTCAATACTACTGTAATCCCAGCCTTATTGAAAAGTCTTCTTAATACTTCTCAGGTGCTTTCCTTGTATGGTGATTCAGCAGAGGCTTTGAATTCTCTGTCAGCCCTGTCATTATTATTACTACTAGTAGTAGAATTACCATTATTAACACCTGAGTTCCTACTACTACTGATCTTTTTCTTTCAATTTCTTATGAATTTATTTATAAGTTTAGGTGGGGGATTATTGGGAGGGGCGGGGGTATTCTTGACGTGTTTAATTTCTTGTCGTAAATTTTCTGACCACTTAGTAAGCTTTTAATTGCCGTATTACTTAGGCATTTACCTAAGCCCACTTCAATTCAGACAGAGTGAGATGATTTGAAGTCTAAGTAGAGGTTCGTGTCGGAAGGTTTCCTATAGACACTAGTCTCTAAACTTCCATCTTGTTTTCGTCTAAACTTGCAATCCAACATTACTAGCTCAACCACATCACTTTCTAAGTCTTCATCAACATGCATTTTATTAGACGTCGCTTGTATTGACTCGAACAAAAACTGCGAAAATTTAAACATTATCCTGTCCATTTAGGCTTTCTATAGACTGACTGTCGCATTGAATAATCTTCTCTTAGGAGTACATCTAAGAATATCAGGCTGATAGTAATTTGTACATTGTTAGATCTTTTTAATAGACAAGCCATATCCTCATACTTATTACTATTATTATTATTACTTCTCACAACTCACTATGATTTTGTTGACATGTCTTATGTAAAGAGAAACTCTAACGGTGAGATCACCAGCCAAAACTTTGATAAATGACCTTAACGAGCTTCCTATAGTTACACTGTTAACTTGTAGAAAGGCTATAGGCGATAGGAGTTGCTGGAGGATATGTAGTCACACAGAATGTTAGTAGACCTTGACAACCGCACATTAGTGAATAAGGGATTTACATCAAAAGAGTATATAGTTTTGTTTTTGATATTAACGTTACTAAGACAGTCATAAGTTGATACTTAGAACCTTCGATTAATGCTGCTTTATATCCTGATGTAATGACAAATAACACAAAAGTGTCCTTCCTGTTTCAAAATTTAATGTAACCTTGATGTCGTCAGTTTAAACAAACTCATCTTACACGTTATTTCGTTACATTTTGAAGGGGATTCCTACTTTTACTGAAATTATGCGAATAAATTTAAAAGAGAGATATAGAAAAAAAACAATGCAATTAAACGATATTCAACTTACGCGGTTGCTTTTTTCAAGGTTTCGATAGCAAGGTTAATTGAATCTTTTTTTAAATGAACTTTTGTCAACCACCTCAAAGGTTTAATATTTCTTGTAAGTTTACTGGAATTAATAAAATATTTCTCGGCCTAAATAGAAATTTTGACAATTAACATAACAGGCTGAATTTATATACTACTAACCAGATCATATTGTTTTAGATAAAAATAGCATAAACCCTGTGTAAATGGTATTTCCTGGAATATTATTTTATCAAAGGAGATCATAATTTTAAAATGTTTTAGTAACATACCCAATCATTTTGATTAAGAGTGAATGCATTTTCGTAAATATTTAAAGCTTCTGTATGATTTCCTTGCAGGAACTGTAAAAAAAACGAAATGTTCAATATTAGTATTTTCTGTAACGAATAAAATGATCATTTGGCAAGGTATCTTAATATCCTCAGAAAATAAATTGATTGATGACTGCAGAGTAAATAATTTTCTATTGTCTAGTTCTGAGCGTTCATAGGCTTCCGTCGATCATTTCTGAAATGTAGTCACCAAGCTAGGAGGTTGGATCACCATCGAGGTGAACTTTGATGGTTGCTATACTACAGCTGGAGGCAACCGGAATGAAACCTTACCTGACCCAGGCACTTTCAAGCAAATTGTTAGATATAATTGTTTTTATATCATATCGCCATTGATTGGACGGGGATTGGACTGGGAAGCAGGTACATTCGGCTGACGAATCCCAAATAGGACGAAATGAGCATCCTGGATTCCACTGCTAGCCATGATCTATCATTAAGATTGTTAGATGTAGTTATTTCTTAATTAACCATATGTATTGATTTATTCCTCACGGACTGACATCTGTTGGAGAACCATCGAAGACCTGGAGCACTGGACAGCCGTTTTGTCCTGGTATGGGATACTCTTCAACAGTACGCACCCACGGCTCGGTTGGGGACCGAACTCAGGACCTTCAGGTTTCATGTTGAACGCGCTAACCATTCAGCCACTGGAGCGGAAACTAATGGTTCACTGTTTTCAACTTCTAATCTGTGGGGTCAGCTAGCAGGAAGGGAAGCGCATGTCAACTGAAGACCTTGGGTAATAGTCGCGCTATATCGCGAATTGATAGAAGTTAAAAGCTATGAACCACTGAACTCCTACCCAGTGGCTTGATATTTAACGTGTTTGCCTGAAACCTGAAGGTCCTGAGTTCGATCCCTAACCGAATCGTGCGTGTAATGCTGAGTAGTCTCATACTAGTAGAAACCAGTGCTCCTAGGTTTTCAATGGCTCTCCAACTGATGACAGTCAGTGACAAATACTGCTCAAAATTAAAAACCCCATTCATCTCTTAACTACACATACATTACACTAAAGGTAGTGTTCAACACGGACTGACATCAATTTGGATGTTTGTGGGGACTTATTTGTTGACTTCAGGTTGGTATTCATCATGGATTGACATCAGTTGGAGAAATATTAGAAACCTGACAGCACTGGACATCTGTTTGGTTCTAGTATAGGACTTCTCGGCAGCACTCACCCATGACCCAGCCGGGGATCGAACCCAGTACCGTCAGGTTCAAGGACAGCACGTTGCCGATGAGCCACTGAGTGGGGACACATTGGTCCATATTTCCTACTTCTGTCACTTCACAATATAAGGCAGCCTGCATCCAATGCCGTCGATGAGTAACTGTGCTCATGATCGACCTGACTGGCCCTACCGGTCACAACTTCTTATTGGAAACTTTGGGAATTACCTTTTGAAATGAGTCACCAACAAGCACTAGATTATTTCGTCTTGGAGGTTAGTGAGGATTTATTTATTTCTTTCTGGTGGGATTCATCACGGATTTAAACCAGTTGGGGAAACAGTGAAAAGCCAGAAGCACTTGACAACTGTTTCACTTTACTATGAGGCCTAATATGAATGAGTACACACCAATTCACTAGATATTGAACTCAGGACCTTCAGGTCTCGCTTTGAACGCGTTAACCATCCAACCATTCGGTCGGAATCCAATGTTCTACAGTTTCCTACTTCTATTAACTAGAGATATAGTGCGACTATCTATTATAGTTTTCCGTTAGCATCCAATTCACTTCTGACTGCTTAATCCTATAGGTTATGGCTTCTCGCTAGGACTTCAGGAAATCTATCTGAAAGCATTTCACGAATGAACCCTATATCGCAATGGAGTATGAGGTTTTTAGTTACCTCATTAATGCCTTATAATTAAGTGTTGAGCTATTTCGTTCTACCAATCAATTGGTAGTGGTGTATTGCACCCACTAGGCAGTTATAGATATTATAGGGATTAACAATTCCTGCCAATATTGAATATCTTAAGCATCTATCACATTTACCCGACACATATACACCTACAGAATTTCGAAACATTTTATTCACAATCAGTGAACATCCTCAGAATAGTATAATCTCAATAGGTTTTTAGTTTTCAATAAACACATGAATAATCCAAAATTTATATAATATGACGGTTTAAGTCGAGAAGAAGATCTGAAACAAGTGGTGCTCGACCAGGTAGCCTAATGGTTTCCAACCAGTGCCCTATCGATTAAGTTAAGAAACTCAACTGCTAGTCAAGTATCATTTAAGTTTCTTCACCTTACAAACAACAATCTGGATGTCAGAGAAGTTAGAATCTTACCACTAATTAAGTTTCCCAGTCAACTTCGAGCATCATTCTCTTACATTAAGACTAGCCTGTCAAACTAAGACTGTCTCCAGCAGTCTGGTCAAAGATAATAAATTTATGAAATTTATGAGTGGTCTCCTTAAAAATGTGATAACTATATTTAGAGCAATGTCATCAACGAAAATGGATGATAAAGAAATATTTCCATTCTAATTCAGAAAGTTAACCCAATCATTTAATAAACCGTCAAGCATTTTATAAATCATAAACAGAATGAATGAGATACAATAAGCGTTCAGCTAAGTCATGGTAAATCAAGTGAAATTCATCTTAGTTCATGTCCAGATTCAATAATCACATCAAGGTAGTGTTCATTAAGAAATGAAAACCACTTGGAGAACCATTAAAAACCTGGAAGTATTGAATACCTTTTTCCTTCTAGTATGGGGTTTCTCAGCAATATGCACTGTGACGTCGTAAACCTCAAACTAAATTACAGCATAATGCTCATTAGTGACACACTTTGAGACGAATATACCAAAGTTCTAATAAAATGTAACTTGTGGAGTCAGAAGTGAAGTGGATGCCAACTGAAGACGTTGGTGAATAGCCACGTCATATCATGAACTGACAGAAGTAGAAAATTGTGAACCATTGAACCCCAACCCAGTGACTGGATGATTAACCCATTTGCCGTCGAATCTAAAGGTCCTGAGTTCGAACCCTAACCGGGTCGTGAGTGCATACTGCTGAGAAACCTCATACTAGGACGAAACAGCTGCCCAGTGCTCCCAGTTTTACAATGGTTCCCCAACTATTGTCAATCCGTGATGAATACTATGTTGAAATAAAATACATTCTCCATTAATCCTAAACTCAATAACCATAGTTTTCATGTTTTGTATTATCCTTTGAGTTCAGTGTTACGTGGTCTTTCGGGAGATAATATTATCAAAAGATGAACTTCATCTCATACTTGTCACATAAATCGAGTCACATAATTTCTATTGGAATACTACTCACACTTTAAATTCATGTTTAATTTTGTAAATACTTGAAGAAAATCTTTTTATTATGTTGATTGGCCCCCAAAAAGACGCAGCATATTTGATTCTTTTTCCAACATATCATTTTCATCCGTGTAAAAATTAAATATATACTAAACAAGGATCAAATAACTTCAAGGTAGAAGAGGTCAGAGGTCAGATGGCATACGTCAATATGTTACTCGAAGTGTTTTTCTTATATCGGTTGTTGGACATGGATCCTATCCAAAAGGGTTGAAGAGTATTATTCTGCGTGGTTGCAAAGAGGTAACAGCAGATCTATGAGAAGTGTGACAATGGAATACCTTGTCGACAGTGATTGTTCAATGTTAATAGCAACCGCATCTTCAAAGTTATTTACATGGTGAAAAAATCTCGCCGAAATCAATGCACATTCGCCTCGGTTGCATTGCTGAAGCTTAAGCTATTCAAATAGAACACGAGACTTGTTCAACCCTTGAACCTTTCAAGGTCTTAATCTGTAGCGTTTCAAAACCTTGTCTCCTCCGTCTAGTTTTTTCATTCCATCAGATTCTTGCAAGTTAACAACTATTCCCTGTTTCATTTTGGAGGTTTATGAGGATTTGTTGATTTCAGGTTGGTATTCATCATGGACTGGCATAAGCTGGAGGGACATTGGAAACCTGATAACACTAGTGTGGGTCTTCTCAGCAATGCGTACTCAAGACTTTGCCCCAGGAAGAGTCGAACCCAGGATCTTCAGGTTTCGCAGCTAGCAAGTTACCATTGTCCCACTGGATTAGAATGCAATGGTCCATATTTCCTAGCTCTCTCACTTCATGATATAGCGCAACCTCCATCCATTGCCGTCGTTGATTAACTGTCCTCATATTCGATGCTCACTAATCTAAGCACCTGTGCATTTTAAGGTTGTGTCAATTAAGCTTTGCGTGTTACTATGCCTTTTAATTACTTTTCAACATGAAAATGATATTTTGATCGCTTTCATTGTATATGCATCACCTTGCTTATTGTCATGTTTATGTAACTGCTTTCATATATGAAACAGACTGTACATTCTCACCAAGAGTTGTACGTAAATACGACTGTATAGTTTAGTGAATGAAATAGACGAAAAGAGTCTCCTCACTGAACTATTTGGTTTTATTTTCTCATATGTCTCTCGTAATGGGGATTTTTTCGAAAATTTTTATTTGTACTGTTCGATATTTAGTAGGTCAACTCATAATGGACCTCTTCTGCATGAGAAAGCAAATTCCAAGTAAATTTTCAACAGAATTATAAAATATTGCTGAAACATTCCCTATTAGAATGTTTATTTGGTACAACACATAGTGATATAGTATAATTTACTGAATGACGTTTCAAGTAGAATTTATTGCTTACATTCATATCAAAGTAATCATACAATTTTCAAACTTCCTTCATATAGTCAAAACATCCTTCATTCTTTGAGTAAAATTTTCTATACATCTGCAATATGTGATGAGTTATTCCTGCTATATGTGTTAGGTGTGGACTCAATGAATAAAGATTATGTGATCAATCTCTCCTTCCACCTAGTTATATTAGGTTTTAGAATTGTCACCCTATCCCACCCTAAATTAAGATTATGTGTCAGTGCATGGAGAGCGATAGTCGAGTTTTTCTCTACATTACTTATCTCAGCAGGGTCTACCATTGTATGTTTCGCTAACTGTTTGTTCTCATTGGTCCTCATAAACTTTTCAATAAATTCCACAGGATAGTTATTAAAAAGCAGTGTCTCTTTGATGTGTTTCAGTTCCTTATTTAGGTTTTATGACTTACTAGTCATACTTCAGGCCCCATTACTTAGATATTTTACCAAGCGTACCTCAACAAATATGGAGTGATATGCTGTGAAATCCAAGTATCTATTCGATAACTAAACTTCCATCTTTTCTCCTCTCGATTTTGCGATTGCCCTTCTTCATTTCCTAATTCATTTCTGATTGGATTAGATCTACTATAGCACACATTCACTTAATAGTCACATGATTACTTTGATATGGATATGAGCAATAAATTCTACTCAAAATGTCATCAATAAACAACAAATGATACTCCTTGCACAAAAGGTGTCCTGTGTCCCAGTGGTCTAGTGGGTAAAGTTTCGGAGTTTGATGGGTAGTGCGTTCGAGTCTCAGTGGGAACAATATCAATCACTGGGGGTACAAGTATATCCAGCTGATGAGTTTCAAGTAAGATAAAACGCGCGTTCTCGACCCCACTGCTAGCCACCAAATAGTCTTTTTTTTCTAGTTATGACGAAAATGCTGTTAATCTACCTTAACCACATTCTTAGCTTTGAGGTAGGTTGGCTAAGTAGTTCTTATTCAACTTTATGTGCATATCAATTAGCCACAACCAGCAAAACAGAAGAGCGGTTCGCAACCTTGCCGGTTTGATTTTTGCTCACTTTGCTGCATCATCTGAATAATCACAACCTTTAAGGACTTGAACCTGCTAACCTGAAATCTCAATGTCATATTTATACTCTTGAAAATGATCTTCCTAGAAAGACCCATCTATTTGGGAGTAATAAAATTCACTTGGCCTGCAAATAATTCAGTGTCATCATAGAATCAGAGAGCAGTCAATCCATTAGGACCATTAAAGTATTTTGATTCCTAATAGATCATTTTTCAGAGACTACAAATCTAGGAAGTGTGAGTGAGATCATCTGATATGTAAAATGGTAAAAACAAATAGGGAAAATGTGTCTAGAATAGGTACTCTTTTCTTATTTTCTAACTAATTACGTAACCTGATGCAGCATGATTCTCAGTACACAAGGAACAACCATAGTCAACGGTACATTTATAGGCGAACAACGCTAATATTCTACATGATGGAGTGTCAGTTTATAGGCTAATTTCAAGTTGTTACTCATCGTAAACTGACGTCAGTTGAAAAACTATTTAAAACCTGGGGTCACTGTATGCGACTCCTCAGCAGTACGCACCCACGACCCCCTGAGGTCTAAACACATAACCTTCAGCTTTTAGGACGAGTGCGTCGTCGTTGGTTTACATTCCCCTACTTTTTTTAGTTCGCGACAAAGCACAACTGTCACTTGCTGAGAAGCCCCATTATGAGACGAAACAGCTGTCCAGTGCTCCTAAGTTTTCAATATTTCTCTAACTAATGTTAGCCCGTGATGAAAACCCACTTGAAATCAAGTAAATCCCTACAAACCTTCAAATTTAAATGCAGGCTAACTTGTCTCGTGGAATTTGAAGATAAACCATAAATATAACAGTATATTTGTGATAGCTTAATTACGCCAATTTTTTAGACAAAAAACATTTTGCAATGCACACTTCAGCTCCTGTAGATCGGACTTCAATTGCAGATGTTAAGATGGATGATTCGTGTTATGTTGTGCAACAAGATTGCCCAGATCTTCAAAAAGAGCCTTAAATACATGAAACCTTTCACAACCAATGGTTTTTTGTCCAAGTTTCAAGAAAATACACATGAATCTACGTGTAAATATCAGATTGGTTGAAGAGGCAAAGTCAACAGGGTCTGTTATCCTGGAAAGGCCTAAGAATAGTGAAGACCATTGGAAATATATATGAACCGTTGTGTTTTGAACATATTTTGGCGTTGTGATATATCTTCTGTTATCTTACCGTCTTTTCTATCTACCGAGGAACGGAACAACCATCAGGGATGGGATCTTAAGGTTATTGTTCAACTGTCTACTCTCAGATATGTAACCAAGGTTACATCAGCTCACTGACGTTAACATGCTTTGTTACAACTTTTTCCTTGGGGTACGAAACACGCTCAAATGTAAGAATATGAATTACGGGATACTAATGATTGCGTCGATATTGAGTCCTGTAATGAAATGGACTGTTTACTAGAAAACAAAACTCATTGGTCAGCAAGTTTATTCTCGAATAAGAAAGAATGCTAGATTTCTTTTTCCCCATAAGCGAGAAATCTGATTTACAGGGTCTCAACTGATAAAAAATCTAAAAGTAGTATTCATCATGGACTGACATCAGTTTGGGACCCATCGAAAGTCTGGAGCACTGGACAGCTGTTTCCTCCGCAGCAGTACGCACCCAGGACCCGACTAGGAGTCGAACTCAGGACCTCCAGGTTTCACGGCGAACGCGTTAACGATTCGGCCACTGGGTCCGTTCACAATGGTTCACAATTTCCAATTTCTGTCAATTCACGACATAGCGCGACTGTCACCCAAGGTCTTCAGTTAGCATCCACTTCACTTCCGACTGGTTGACCCCACAGGTCACAACTTCTCATTGGAACTTCCTGACATCCATCTGGAAGCAAGTCACTAATGAGCACTATAGAGTAATGTATTTTTGAGATGAATGGGTATTTTTAATTAAGAAGTAGTATTCATTATGGACTAACATCAGTCGGGGAACCATTGAAAATCTGGGAGCACTGGACAGCTGTTTCGTCCTAAGAAATCTGTTATAACTACTGCCTGTTTTCAGTAACTACCTACGAATGCATTCGATTTCAACTTTACTTTGGTTCACTTAACCAGAGAACATCCGTTGAAGAACAAAAATCCAGAAAAAAGCATACAAACTGATGAAAAAAATTGTCAAAACATGTAAATAAATTGTGTGGTTACAGAGAACTTACAATGACTTGGCAATTTGCTTCAGTAGATCAGGTGAATTGGTAATACGCTCCGAACACTTGTGTAAATAATTCAAGGACTCTTCAATACAACCATTTAATCGACTGATAAGACTGAGACAATACAGGTGATAATCATCATTCACAGAGAATTGTTCACGATTCGTAATGATCTCAGTACATCTGGTAAATGAAGACTGAGTGTACAGAATGTGTAACAACCAGTTAACACTTTCTACTGGTTGGAAATACAATAAATCTTGACACAAATTAATACAACGCATAGATACTCACTGTTTTTATACATTTTTTCCACACTGAGTTCACAAGACGGTTGGCATTTATTAGTCAAATAACCAGTAGGAGCTCAATTCCGATTTTTTTGCAAATGTCTATAAAAATAGAGTAAAAATAAGACTGAGTAGATGGTACGAGTATTCTAGTTTTGTGCTACACGGGGTTGAAACGATAAGATAACTGGAAAACAACATGCTTCTGGCAACAATTGAATTTCAGCAGTAAAACTTTCATGTATGTACAGTTTTTTTAATCGTTCAGAGCTATTCTCACTGATTTCGGCAGAGGAGTTTCAAACAGTGGGTCGCGGGCTCGAATCCCATCACACCTACCAAGGTTTCAGCAGCCAGGAAGTGTTATCAGCCCTCATACAATAGTTGTGACTAACTGCCTGAGTACATTTTAATTCGAATTTCACCAAATGGCGTATTTGGCAATTGAAACGCCGCCAAGAAAGTTTTCTTCAGCGGTAAAGGGGATAACAATATGTTTACTCGTTTTAATTTAAATATACCTCTAAATCATCATCTTCATTTCATGTGTGTAATTATCGTAAACGATTTAAATAAAGTGAAACTGATTACGTCCACAGAAAACAGGGAATTGATTGAATTTGACTAAATTCTTTTCAACGTACAAGTTAGCATAGTTACATGTTCAATGATTTCAATGAGGAAAATATCTCTTCGCGGTAATTTCATTTTAAAGCTGTACATATCTATTCAGTTCACTCTTCGAGAAGAAAAGAAACAGATTTCGAAACAGTCCAATTTAGACGAAGAAACAGACGATTCCATCGAAGAAAAACCTTTTTTTCACGAAGAAATCTTTCTTTTAGCTGCACATTCGTGAATATATATTGTAAAAAGGACAGAACATTTGGAGTAATCCCTGTTCAAAGGCCAATATGAATTTCATCACAAAGGAAAGTTATGTACCAGGGGAATAAACAAAATGTCTACAAAATAAAAATAGTTACGTCAAATGTGGGTTATTTAGAATGATCTATAATTTTCAATGGCCATAACAAAGAAATAGGTAGTACACACTTCTTTTGAACGCATAATGATGGTTTGGATTTTTGAATCGCTAATGCTTCAGTTATGTCCACATACCTTAGCTTCGTCGCACTTTGTACATAGTTTTGAGGAACTCATAAAAATGAGCCAAAGTCCTGAGTTTACTAGGTGTTCTGTTTCAGAGCTGAGGATGTATTTCTGTTCTCCCCTTGTCAATCACGTTGAGTAGTGTTCGCGATTGTATTGCAATAGCTTGCCCATGGTATGACTGAAGTACTGCGCTCCACAGGAGCAAGTAAACTGATATACACAGGCTGACGTGGCCCAATGCTTCGGCTTATCCATTGTGAGCTGACGAATGAGTTTCTGACAGGAGAATGTGATTCTAAGATTGGCGGCAAGGAATCTTCTGTTTATGGACCTGATGGATTATCTCCTTTGAATTCGAGGTTCAGTAGTGAAATCTTATTTGGAGCAGTGTGCATGCGTTCCACGGCGTTTTTTTTTGGCTTCAGATTCTTATTTATAAATTTCAGTGGGTATCCATTTTTCATCAAGATTTCTAGTTTATCACGGATGGTATCCTCCAAGCATATTTTTCATGTTTTCGAGAAGAATAAAGTGATAAGATGCCTGTTTCTAATTAACGGCACACGGATTCGAAAAATAATAAATTTTCTGTTCCAAGTGGACTTTCTGCAAATAGATCTCTGAACTGAATTACCAACTTTTCTTTGGAGTTGTACATCAAGAAAATGGAATTTCAAGTTCCATTCTGCTTCAGAGTGGATTTGATAAACAGATGAGCACTACTGAGGATTTAAAGCACGTTTTCTGGATCCATTTTCTCGTCAACGTAATAAAAGCAACATCTATATATCTCTTGTAGAAATGAAGCTAACTGATCACTTTCGATAATATCGTGTTTTCCAAGCTTGCCATAAAGCAGTCAGCTAGCAGAGGCCCTAGAAGTGATCCCATTGCCACGCCGTCTAACTGTATGTAGATTTCACTGTTAAATATGGAGGGATACGTTGAAAGTACATCTGAGGAGTTCCTTTAGATAGTGATTTGGGGTACCAACGTTTAACTCATGGGACTGAATGAAGCTACATAAGAAACAAATGGTTTCCATTGGTGAGATGTTTGACCAGGAATTACTCCAGAATGTTTCATCCTTCTTATCATACATTCACGAATGTACAGCTAGGAGAAAGATCTCGTCGAAAAAACACTCTTAAATCCCGTTTTTGATCTGCTAATTACAAGGAAACCTGATAGATCTCTAATGAGATATCAATCTACAGAAAATTTACATGAAATGGGAAACTAAAAAATTTCTATAGGTTGTTACTATGAAGAAGAAAAGGAATTCGGCTTATTCTCTCTCATACTATGTTCAGAAGATCATTACAGAAAACAATGCAGAGAATGGGCTAAAGCTACTGAACCAAAATCTTACAGAAAAACTATGGGCACTGTGGTAGAATGTAATTTCACACTGGTTTGTTTATTTTATATAGCACACAGCGATACAATATTACTTACTGGTTGACGTCTCGAGCATAAATTATTGCCCATTATCATATCAATGGAATTACACAGCTTTAGACAACTGATTTCTATAGTTCCATCACTCCATATCCTTTGTTTTCATTTGTAGTAAAATTCTTCACATCTCCAGTATGGGTGTTGCGATATTCCTATCATATTTTTGTTGGATGTTGATCTGAAGAACAAAGATTCAGTAGTCAATCTTCCTCTCCATCCAATTATACTGGACTTAGGTGAAGTGATTTTATCCCACCTTACTGTGAAGTTGTGTGTTATTGCATGTACTGTAATAGCTGACAACAGGGTGGGACAAATCACTACACCTAAGTCCAGTATAATCAGATGAGAGAAGATTGACTACTGATCTTTGTTCTTCAGGTCAACATCCAACAAAAATATGATAGGAATATCGCAACACCCATACTGGAGATGTGAAGAATTTTACTACAAATGAAACAAAGGATATGGAGTGATGGACTATAGAAATCAGTTGTCTAAAGCTGTGTAATTCCATTGATATGATAATGGGCAATAATTTATGCTCGAGACGTCAACCAGTAAGTAATATTGTATCGTTGTGTGCTACATAAAACAAACAAACCTAATGTAGACTTATGGAAAATAAGTATTCATTATGTTTCGTACAATGTAGCAGTAGACAGATAAAAAATCCTTTATAAAATGCCACCGTGACGAGAAGCAAAATCTGATTTAATTTAGGATTCAGAGGCTGTACCGCAAACGAACTTCTTAAGAATCTTCTAACAAGGTAAGTAAAAAAAAACATTCTATGATGCATGCGTAAAATAACCTACTCCAGACGTTTTTTAAACCCAACCTAGTGGTAAATAAGTGTTACCCCCACTGTCCAATTAGAAGTATATCTACATGTTCACATGCATTCGTTGGGCCAAGTACATAAGATGTCCATCAAGAAGGATTTCCCGTTGTGTTCGAAAACATCTGCAATCAAGACATCATTTGTATTCAACCTAACTATCCGTAGCCACCTTGTACAAAGGGCTATAATGTTACCCTACTGTTTAATAACAAGCTCCCACCCAGCACCGAATTCTGACGCAGTTTGAAAACTCTGGGCATTATCTTAAACATCTTTGGGTGCACTTACGAATTTAAGTTGTCTCCTAAATTTCTCCGTTATTTTCTGTTAAAAAATGTATTACAATGGTTTTTTAAGCGTGCAAGCGCATTATATTACAAAGAATGTTACATAGAAGGATATTTTGAAATATAATCTTGTAGGTTGGGGTGAAGAGATCACTCACAAACTTGAAGCGCACTTAGGAACGTTTGATAATCTTGAGGGAAAACTTAAGGTTTTTTGGGGAAGATATTGTGCATCTCAGGTGCGTCCAAATGATTTTTTACTCATTTCACCCAAAACTCTTAGGGCACACCTGAAATAAACTATGGCCAGGCTGTTACTTGCTTTCAAAACTATGAACACGAACATACTGCTTTAAAAATGAATTCATCTTAATGAAAATTCTGTTTGCGATATAACCTTTATGGCTTATTGGGTATATCCATTAAGATCTATCTTTCCGAAAACATTCAACATGCAATATCAATAGTACAAGAGCAGGAACCTGATAGTTTTTGGTCTCTTGCATCTCGATCTTGAGAGTTGGTTCTTGTTGTTCGGTTTTCCCCCATTAGTGGTCAAGGAAATCCTTTCCGCTTTCCTGCTACAGTTCCGGTGAGATGAACATTTTTGTGGGTTATAAATTGTAATTAGTAGGTTGAGATTGTTGAGGAGCTACGGGTTGCTGGGTAGATTATGAGTCCTTCGTAACTCTTCTCTACATTAGTGCCTGGTATTAATGGCATGATAGAGGGGAAAAGTATGCAGGACTTATCTTGAAGGTAAAAGTAGATAGTACGGGTCTTAATAATAGGAATGCCATTAGATAAGACAAATGCATAGACAATATAGATGGTGAGTGGTAAATAAGGAGATAACAGTGGTGAGCTAATGAGGTCAGTAATGACTTGATTATGTATGTGGTAAGCCAGAGGAAATAACGTAACTGCTAACATGCCTTTGTTTGAGTCTGTTGAAGGCGCTGTGACAACATCTCGCATAAGGCATCCCGTCAGATGCATAATCTTCAGGACAGAAGGTTTTACCTGAGCCTGATGTTACTAGTAAGGTGAGCTATTCTGATGACGTTCTTCTGTGATGACATCATGGAGGTATCACCATAGCAGGCAAAAAGTTGAAGTTTCGAATGTACAGGGACTTCGGTGATTACTTCAACAAACTGTTTGCCTCAAGTAACATTGGGATCTTCAAATGTTCAGTAGTTAGTCATGAGACCATTTGGATAGATATAGATGAAACTGCTTGCAAATGTTTCAGCATCCTTCTAAGAATTATGAGGTTGTGATTC